GTCCTCTCGAGTAACCGGTTTCGTTTCCCTTTGTCCTTCTAAGTAACCATTAATAAACTGTTTTGCTTTATGAAACCCCAGTCTGTTTTGCCCGGGACCATGGTTGGTGGGTGCTCCCTCTGTTCTTGTCTCAACCCTCAGTCCCTTTATTTTTTTTTTCTCCTCTCTACTTTACTGGAGAAGGAGAGACTGTGTGAGTTTTAGTTGCTGGATCAGCCTAAAACCACGACACTGAGCTTAAAGAAAACAACAGTGTATTCCATATTTTGTATCTCCTGTCCTCAGGGATTGCCCACATAATCAGTTGCCTTTGCACACTCCTGAGCCATCATTTTATGTTCCTTCTGAAACTAGGTAACAAACTCTTGTCAATGGATTGCCAAGGCTTGAATCCCCTGCTATCAGGTCTATATTATTAGTATTCTTTCATTTCTTCTATTGTTATAAATAGTAAAAGAGTGATTATAAAGACTCTCTTAAATGTTGATTTGCTTTTAAAGCAAATAATTTGTTGGACTAATTAGGAAGTCTCGGATCGTAAACTCACCTTCCAAGGTGACAAGGGAAAATGCAATCCACTGCATAATAAAACACCGTAAAATCTTCATTGTGCACGATGCTACCTGCTCTTGTCTAAAAGACACATCTGCTATATTCCACCAAGACTACTTGGAAAGCAATTAACCATTTGCATACAGAAATGCTCTCCTTGGAAATGAGTTTATGAGGCTATAATATGCACTGCAAGTACTTTTTCAGTTTTTTTGTTAGGTTCCTTTTTTTTTTTTGGCATTCGTTGAAAAGGTTTGGCTCTTGATGACTACCTCATTTATCTGTCCCAGTGTTGCACTGAATCTTAGAACTGGAACCCCATTATTGTTTTACTTCACGGCTGCCTGAATAATTATCTTACGGCATTCATATGCTTAACCTAACGGTGCAAGGAAGGCACAGTACGGCAATGGGAGGACGGGTCATTTAAGAAAGGTTATGAGGCATGTGGTTCAATCTTTGGCAGTAACTGGCCGAAAAGCCACAAACATTGGCTCCTGTGAAACTTTGTTTCTGTCTCCCCAAGCACTGGCTGTCTCCACGCCTCCTTCAGTAACTGTCTTCAATGAAGTAAAGTGTTTCCTTACCTATTTGCCAATCCCAGGGAACTTTCAACAGCTCTTTGTGTTCCATGATTGCACTACAAGAGAAGAGAAGGCAAAATGTGATGGAAAAGAACAGAAGTTGAATTACTTCCACTCATTCAATTCAAATGCTGGACTAAACAACATAAATAACCTTATAACAAAAAATCTCTGTAGGAATCAAATGCAATCAGACTTTGCTAATCCACTCTGGCATTATCCCTGTGCCTGAGTATTTGAAAGATCTTCAGGGCAGTAATCAGACGTGATAGCATACAATTTCCACTGGTTTATTTCCAGCTTTCTATATACCTGCCCAAAGTGCCCATCCCCCTATATGTTCAATCCTCTTACACTCTTCTGACTTAATATTTTGAAAGCTTTTAGACTTTAATGATTAATAATGTATCTGTCTGAGTTATTCACCCTTCAGAGCAGCTCTGCAGTGTCAAATAAATAGATATCACAGGCTGGCTTTGAGGAGAAAGCAGTGATTTGTTACACACTGAGAGAGATCAAATAGAGGTTGGATGAGGCTTTGGACAACCTAGTGTAGTGGAGGGTTTCCCTGCCCATGGCAGGGGGGTTGGAACTAGATGATCTTTAAGGTCCCTTCCAACCCTAACCATTCTATGATTCTATGAAATAAGTTGCGGAAATGGAAGTCAGGAAACAAAGCAAAGGATGGGCCAAGCCTCAAAATTCCACTTTCAACATCTTATAAGTCTTTCATTGTACATTAACATCAAAATCCCAGATCCAGACAATTCTAAGGTGTCAACAAGTCAGCTCTTCCCAATCCAGGCAAACACACCCTTGGAGATTAGATATTTCATGAGCCAGGTCCTCACTCAGTTAACTGCTTTCTCTCATGTATGATTTCCAGATAACTCCTGCTGTGCAGAACTCCGCATGCTAGTCTGGACCCTATTTTAAACAAATATAAAACATGGAATTACACAGGCTGGAAAACAAAGTATCTAGTACAAAAGGTGGTATGTGGAAGACCAAGTCTAATAGCAAAACTGCAGGAACTCAGTGCTTTTCAGATTAATCTGGTCTAGAGAGTTGCACCCTGCAAATTCTAATTCGCTTGCTGCTGATGTGTGGCAAATCTAATAATACTGTGTACAGAATAATAAGATTATTTTGTCTGCAAAATAACTAGATTATAAGAGTCTTTGCATGCATAAGGCATATATCTCTTTTATCAGCAATTCCTGAAGAATATCATGAAAATGAACTGCAATGTTTCTTGTTCTGGCAAACAAATCTTGATATAATTTAAATGTAGGAACATTGCTTTCATACTATTGCCTATCTGATACAAAAGAAGTATAAACAATATGCTATGGTCTGTGATTCATGATGATCTCTGAAACAAACAGAGGGAAGAGTAACTTTCCCAGAACTTGCCATTTAGGCAACCAGACGACCTTCAGGGGTCCATTACAAAGTAGGTTATTCTATGAGGTTATTCTTATTCTAAGATTCCATCAGACAGCATTATGTCCATTTGCTGTGTAGTTGTTATATCCCCAACTCTTGTCAACTAATTTCTTCTCTTGTTTTGACGCACAGTTCCTCCCTGCTTTAATCACATTCAACCCACTAAACTTCTCTTTCCACCATGCCTGGGTGGTTAGACAACTCTTTACTTCACTGTTTGCCCTGACACCTTAGCCCTTCATTTGCTGTCCAACAGGCATTATCTGGGTTTATTTTACATTATAGTTTAATATTAAGCGCCCTTGCTAAACTGTTCTAGAAAACAACAGCCTACTTCTTGAAAGTCCTCTTGGAGACACAGCCCTGTACTAGATCTGAAGCATGAACTAACATGAGTGACCCACACATATGTACGTATTTGTAAATATACATGGAATAAAAGGCAAATACCACAGCTTTTTGCTACTATATTGATTTGAGATCAATGTATGTCAATAAAGGGGATATTTACTTACAGGTGGTGTTTTGTCTTTCCTACATTCAGCATAGGCCTACACACTTTTTGATATTTTCCCTTCTTCAGAACTGCACTGGTCCCTGTAATTCCTATGAACATAAGACTTACGCTTCCAGTGTAAGTATTAGCACACACATTCCTCATCTTACTTTGTGGATGCCAACCAAACTTTGACCAGCACTGTGTCTAGCATGCTGGGAAGTGGTCCTATTTCTGAGACATTCCTTCCCCAGATTACTTCCTAAAGGTCTATATATTGCACCAAAGTGTCCAGTAGTGTTTCACAGAGTCTGCGACTGTAACACAGCGAGCTGGCTTCTCTTTGAAATAACTGCTATATTTAGTTAGATTAAACTTCTGTGAACTCATAACTATGTGACATCCACTCTTCATTACAGGTAAAGGTAAGAAAATGCTGAATTGCTTCATGGAATCAAGTATCAGAAACATTATTGCCCTGTCCTGATACGCAAGCTTTTGCCACCTCATTAAAAATGTACATATATGAGCTAAGTGTGGTTGAGGCTCCGCAAAGTGCCACAAAAGCACTAGCAGGAAAAAACTGCAGAGGCTGTTGGAGAAAAATCTACTGGTGATAACTTCTGGGCCAAAAGTCGACTAGAAAACCTTAGGACTTTCAGCAAATAAATGGTTTCTTATTATTTCCTTCCAGCTGTATCCTCTGTATGCAAAGATGCCTTGTTCCAGCACCAGCTTCTTCTCCCCAGCAAAATAACTCACAAACTCTGAATTGTGACTAACTGCTTGGGTCAAGAGGGGGTAATGGCACTATAATTAAATTCAGGAATACAATACGTATACACGACAGTTTACACACAGAGGAAGCTGAGGGCACTGCTTTGATGTCCTCAGAATCAGTTAGTACCTACCCTACTGTGAACACTGTAGGTAAAAAAAATGCTTCAACCAAAGATACTAAGCACATTTATGTGCTCTTGAATTCTATATTTTTAAAAAAGGAACTGCTCGTGTGGCAGCCAGCTAACACAAATAATTTTAAGTCACATGTTCAGATCCCATACAAATATAAGCCTTCTGGACAAAGAAACAGAACTAATTAAGTGAGAATTGATGGGTCATTATTTTGATCACTCTCTGTTCTTAGAAGTTGTGTAGCTCAGATGTGCAGGGAAGAAACTTGATTTTGACGAAGAATTGAAAGTTATTCTGTGTGACAAGCACCAGCAATGGATCTGCATAAAATATGCCAATCTTGCATGGTGACTTTTAGTACACTTTCATCAGTCACAGTATTATAACATTGGAAGCTACCTTCCAACTCTATAGGCTTGCAGGTGAGGTGCTCATTAAGTACATGTGAATAAAGATATGACTCAGTAGTTCCTGAAATCCATACAACAGTCTCTTGAGTACTAAATATTTTGAAGTGAAAACATCAATTTCTTAAAGGTTTTTTCATTATTTCTGCCTTATCATAATGCAGATACACAGAACGAGCCAAACAGTAAAATACCTTCTGACTGGATGTGTTTTCTACCTGTTTAGAAATCTAAGTGACTTTTTAAAAGTATGAAACAGAACCAGAGAGAGTTGTAGATTTTGTTATTCACAGATCAGACCAACACGCGACGTATCCACTTGTCTTCCAGAAACAAGATCGTAGGATGTGTCTTCTACTCCTCCCTCTCCATGTGACTATTCAAGGACACCAGTCATAGAATCATAGAATCATAGAATGGTTTGGGCTGGAAGGGACCTTCAAGATCATCTAGTCCATCCCCTCTGCTGTGGGTAGGGACATCTTCCCCTAGATCAGGTTGCTCAAAGCCTTACCCAGCCTGTCCTTGAACACCTCAAGGGATGAGACATCCACAACTTCTCTAGGCAACCTGTTCCAGTGCTTCACCACCCTCACAGTAAACAATTTCTTCCTAATAGCTAATCTAAAACTACCCCTCAGTTTAAAACCATTTCTCCTCATCCTATCACTACATTCCCTCATAAAGAGTCCATCCCGATCTTTCTGCAGGCCTCTTGAATTAGAGTACTTAGGTATAAATTCGTGCTATTCAAATCCACTGATCTGAAATATGAAAACCAATGCAAGTTCCAGGATTAGAGGACGTTTACTCTCCACAGGATATGGCTACCTTTGAAGACAGGGTCAGAGTACCTCAACGGAGTCCACAGCTGCATTTATTTGAATGACCTTGAGGCTCAAACCTGCTCACTTACAGCTGAATTCCGCTGAAGAAGGAACCAAAGAGCCCGATCATGCCCAGGAATTCCACTCGACTCAGATTTCGGACGATATACTCCTCACAAACATTCGAGATGCCGTATAGCGTTGCTCCGCCCAGTACTAAGAGATCCCCTATCAGTTTATTTTCACCTAGGAATAAACGGGAAAAATCAGAATATCTCAAAACAACCATCTTTTGTATAGAACCATTGCAAGTTCTTCCCTGCAGGTTTCAACCCTCAGACACTAAGTAGCCTGTATCCGAGTTAATGAGCTGAACACAGATGTTCTGTCATTTTAACAGTTTTTGTTCAATACCCCAGCAAAATCTAGCAGAGGTGAAGGAAGAGCATTATCCTTGCTGTGGATACAGGCATCTGAAATTTACTTATTTTTTTTTTAAAAAGAAACCAAGTGGTAGTCTTCTGTTACTAATTCTTTTTATTTGATTATTATTACTTTTTTTTGCAGATAGATTGTGACTCGGCTACATAGAGCAGTCTGCATCTCATCTTGAAATCTAACCAGTCTAAAACATGTCCAGTCTTTAGATGTGAAATCAACTGAAAAAATATGTGTACCTGTGAAATGAGTGAAGAAATCATTACAACCCCAATATTGACCTCATTCTCACATGAAGCTGTTTGATAAGAAAGAGAGGAGGAAGGATGGGGTGTAGACAGGGTGATGATAATGACAGATTTTTAAAAGAGTTCAATTAACATAGCAGTACCTAATGCATGCAATGAACACCAAAATGTATTTTCAGTACCTCCAGGTATATATAATTAATAATGCATTGTATTATCAAAGACTGTATGAAATCTTTTCAGTCTTGGAGGCTTTTATTATTGGAGGGGTGGGGAGAGCTGCAGGGAGATTTGATCAAGTTCCAGCTTGAAAACAGAGGCCTCGGCTTTGCAAACTGATGCACGATTCCGTCTGCACATATGACTTGTTAAATGATTTCAAGAGCTACAGCTTCACAAAGCTGTCAGACATTGCTGCAGAACCATATTCAGAATGTTGGATATAATGGAATTTCCTTTGAAAAGGTTCAGTGAAATGCTGAAGTACTAGACTGTAATTTTTTTTGAAAGAAACCTTGTGTTCTTTTAAAATACCACTTGATTTATTTTTTGAGTTCCTGCCTTTTAAGTTTTATCATTATTATTGATTTGCAAAATACACACTGCAGTAAATAAAAATGGAAGCCAAACATTCTGATTGGTTCAAAATTACCTTTTCAACATTTTTCATACGGACTTCTTTTAAGCCTTTGGTTTTCATTCCAAACTACAGTTCTGAAATTTCCAGTGAGAAGAAATTTACGAAAATAAGCATGGCCATAAAAGGACAGACCAAGGGTTCATTTCTCCAGCACTCTGTCTCCAACGCTGGCTATAAGCACCAGAAAAGTGTAAGTTGTTTAGAGACAAATAGGAACAAGGCAAGCGTTTAAAATACTCCCAGTAATACTCTCGTAGTGTCCAACATTTTTCAGCTCAGAGGAGATGTGGCTTCTGTGTATTTAGCAAACATTACTAGATTTCTCTTTCATGTAATCATCCAGTCTCTCACTGAATTTCTCTTGTGCATCTACCTTGACTGACAGCACGTTTCCATTTGACCATTTATCTTTTTAAGATTTGGTACTTATTTTCCTTTTAGCCTTCTTTTGCAATCAGCCATGGAAGATGCCCTTAATCTAAAATAAGCATCAGCACTTTACAAAACCTCTTCATACCCCTGATGCACCTGATGTTCCACAGTGGCTCCAATCACCCCTCACTGAGCTCACTCATTTGGTATTTATTACAGCTACTCACTGACACTTTGGGGAAGTACTGCCGAAAAAGCTTTTGACCTTAGAGCTTGGCTATGCCGAACTGCCGAGACAAAAATATCATCCTTTTGCATCCGCGAAACAAAGACGGCTCAGCAGCTGAGTGCTATCACAGAGAGGGGATGGCCTCAAGCACCACTCCGCGATGGCTATCCCCAAAGAGCGCTCATGCTCAGAGAAGGTGAGCCCCAACCTTCAGGGCTTTCCCAGAAGAGGAAGCCAAGTTCTGGTCAGTGCCCAGATCTGCCCATCCCAGGACCCTCCTCTGGCACCAGGCAGCCCAGGCTGCCTGAGGAAAGCACAAAGAAATATGGAAGCACAGAGGGATTTTTATCAGCCAGTTCTCAGCAGATTAAAGATTTTCTGTTGCATTAAACTATCAAACTTAATAGATCCTGAGGGATTCTTCATTAATTCGTGTAAAGTGCATATAGTTGTGGCCTCTGCAACAGCCTGTGGCAGTAACTTACCTGGTTTAAGCACGCCCTATCAAAAAGTACTCCGTGTTTTCAGCTTGTAAGCCTCATACCTCAAAATTATATTGGGCATCCCAGAATTTTCTGATTGTGAGAAGTATTTAAGAATCACTCTGTATTGACCTTGTCCACACCACTGAAGACTTCATGTATCTTTACCATATTCTGCCTCATTCTTGCCTTTTCTGGGAGATGAAAAGTCCCAGTCTGCCTACAGTCTCTTCATCCTGAAGCCATTTTATGCCCTTGGACAGCTTTCTCACCTTTCTCCATTACTTCTGTAAGATTATTTTCTGGTCATTTATTTTTGAGAAGCAGTGACCAAAGTAATAATGCATCAGAACTTTATATACTGGCATAAAAATGTTTTATACTATATTTTTTGGTTTCTTTCCTAATAATTTCTAGCATCCTGATGGTCAAATGCCTTTTCTTTGCTTCCTCAAGAGGCTGACTTCGGAACTTTCCCCAAGACTGACATAAGCTAACAGACATATTTTCATGGATGAAAAATCCATATGTGCCTACTGGTTTATTGCTAAGCAAATACATATCAACTGACTAGAGGCGTTCTAAAGACTTTTAGATTAATATAGTTGTACTTGACCAATTCAATGGCATAGATCATTCTTCTGAAGAAACATAAGGCATAGCTTGGCAAAACACGCTTTGCACTAATCATTGTTAGCAGATTTAATATTCTCTGGAAGCAGAAGTCATACAGTCCAGAGAGGAGTTAATGTTTTGGGGACTAGTTACAGCACTATAATGTAAAATAAATGATTTAAATATGAATTATGTTCTGACACGATTGCTTTTCACACTCTCACTAGGCCATTTTGCCACATTTTTACCTCAATCTCCAGCATTAAGTGGTGTTTCTCTTTGCTTTTGGTTGTAATTACTGATGATCACAATATCTAAAAATCAGTCTCAAAGTGTCCTATCTTAGACTAAACATACTGTCATATACTTATTAACAGGACTGAAGTGACTAGTTTTCAGAGACTGGGGTAAGCTAAATATGTGAAGTGCTGTGAAAAATCTGGGTGAAGCACTTAGACCTCTGTGTCTTAGATCCCTGTGTATTACAGGAGCATAAGTATCGAGGTACCTCAGGGGTATTAGTTCAGAAAAATGTTATTTTAAGGTACACTTGGCAGGTAAGGTGATAGAACCCCAAGTACTTGGTAGTAATTGCTTTTCCCATTGAGAAATGTGCAAAACATTAGTCAGGATACAATAATGATAGGCAAACTATCACATATTTATTGGAAGTTGAGAGCATGCCTGCACATTATACCTAATTCCTGCAGATAGTTTGGAAAATACCTGTTAATCTCTCAGTGATGCATTTTAAATTCATTTTCCCTTACTGTAAGAGCTGGGAGGCTAGATTGCTGTATGCAGTAGGTGCCTAATAGAGCCTTATGGCACTTCTAATACAGCAAATAGCACGGTCAATAGGGCAAATAGGTGTCAACAGGTCTTGTCCCCTAAAATACAGGATAAACACAGGAGTTTACTCAGGACTTATGCAGCTTCATTTCTTTTGGTGTATTCCTTTCTTTTGTTTGCTTAGTTCTAGGAAATATCTTATAAATGGTGTGGAACCCCTTAATGAAGAGTTTCAAGAAATTTTTTCCTTTTGCTGCCAGTACTTCTTTTTCTTTGTAGATTTTAAATGTAGAGTTTTATCCCTCCAGATAAATGAAATCAGCTGATCTATTTTACTTTCTTAAAGACAACATCATTAATAACATCATTTTGCCACTTAAAAACCAAGCTGCAGTCTCTCTGTGTAGCAATAAGCATGGACACAGTTTTTCATGTGTAGGTCCTAATTAAAAGGCAATAAGGCATGTTAACAGATTTTTCTGGACAAATGTACCTAACAGCTATACCTGTGCTTCAGTAATGAATATGTTAAATAATATCTAATTATTGCAGTTGGATGGCAAAGTGTTAGTGTTCTTCAATCTGCTCCTTGTCCGCTTTGGTCCATTGCCCCACACACTCCTGTTGATTCACAACTCACCCGCCCTAGCACGTTACTGTCTAGATTACTGGGACACAGGATGTTTCCTATGGAACCCAGGGTTGAAATCTCAGTCGCTCTGAAATCAGTCATTCCTAAAGCAGCTTCGCTGGCTGATTTCATAGTACAGAGTATATTCTTTCATTTTTAGCTGAGGCAGAGCTATTTCTGGAAAAGATCAATGAACTAAAAGTCTCCTTTCAGGATAAAGGACAGGGATAAAAGGGGGCAGGGAGATATGGTGAGTACTTCCACAAACTCCCTTGTTTTATTTAGTAGCATCCTGGCAACTGCAGTTCTTACAGCACTTGCATTTGTATTCAGAAAGCTGAGTCAAGAATTTTAAATCCCAGTGTATTATGTTCAGCTCACAATTCAGTGCTTTTAATTAAGAATGAAAACTGTGCCTAATTGACAATCTTTGAAAAGAATTTCCAGCCTTCCCACATCATTTGGGTTGGCACGAGAGAAATCAATGTGGCAGAGGAACTTGATCAATGAAATCTAACTCTGTCTAGTCTGCATTAATAGCTACACACACATTATTCATATGATGCCACACATGAAAAAGAACATTTTACACACAAGAAGGGTCTTTTTAACAACGACACAGGCAAATCCCAAACCTTTACTCTGAGACTGTGTGCATAACCCAATTGGTACAGTTAGTATGTAGGTTTAGTGTCTTTTAGCATCTACTCAGCAACCCCACCTCTGTACAAAAAAGGAGTAAAGTTGAGGAGAAGTAAGAGTACACAGTGGATGCAAGAGGTGTTCATGATTCAAAGACATAGCCACTTTTGTCACAACCTGGCATATTCTGGTCAACGGCTTCTCTGAGCAGAAATTGGTTATTCAACACATCCATCCTTACTCACCTGCTCCTTGCTGTCTCCCAACGAGGACATCTGCTCCTGCCATGCATCCCATGCCCAGAATGCACACCACGATCCCAATGAAATGTACTGCCTTGTATCGTACCAGTAAGAAGAACCAGGAGAGCAGTATCACCACTGGGATGACAAAACAGTCAAGGAGCTGTCAAGAAAGAGAGAAAAAAAATCAACAAATCAACCTGCTGACACTTCGCCCTAAAATACTGAGAGTGATTCCAGCAGAGGGAAGCAGGGTTATTTAGTTACTAATAGCACTTTTTACCAGACAGAAAGTGTATTCAAGTGGTTATGTCATCCATCAGACAGAGGATAAGGCTGTATTTTGTTCATGACTATTCCATGAATTCAGGAAAACTATTGCTCTGTGGTAACACCCAACAGCACTGCCTTGCTCTTGGATTCAGATGCATATTTCAAATCCATGGGAAGGAAACCTGGGCCAAAAGAAAGCCACACCACTCCATCTGGTCCTCACCTCTGGTGATTAACGGATAAAGACTGAGGGCACTCTTCCTGCAGTCCAGACATATGCTTTAATTCAGTCCTTTCAGGTTCAATTAGCGGGAATGTTCATAATGCATAAGTTGACCAGATTTATTAAATCTGGTCATATAAATCAAGGAGTTTCTGCATGCAGAATACTTAATGAAAAATTTGACCCCTGCGGGGACTGTTAACTCCTTGAAAATACAGTCCCATATGCCTCTGAAGGAAAAAAAAAACAAAACCACCTTGCCTACAGTGCAAGAAACTCAATCTTCTTGTCAATAGAACATGGATAAGAGCTTTCTCAAACAAGTGTTATGAAACACAATCTTTAATTGGTCTTTTCAGAGACACCCAGCAATAAATCCAGAGAATCCAGGATAAAAAAAAAAAAAAAAGAAATGCACCAAATATTTGTAAGAGGACCCAGAGATTTTAAAATTAAAATATATTTTAGAAACTACCAGCATGCCACCAGGAAACAAAAATCTTCAGTAAGAAACACCCAAAGAAACTTGACTTTAAGAGCCTTGATCCACTTTCTAAAAGGATACAGATAATATGCCAGAGGAAGTTTAGACTGGACATTAGGAAGCATTTCTTTATCTAGAGGGTGGTCAAACACTGGAACAGGCTTCCTAGAGAGGTGGTCGATGCCCCATGCCCGTCAGTATTTAAGAAGCATTTGGACAATGCCCTTAACATGCTTTAACTTTTGGTCAGCCCTGAAGCGGTTGGGCAGTTGGACTACATGATACAACTGCAGGTCCCTTCCTACTGCGTCAATTCCAATCCATTCCATTCCATTCCATTCCATGAGTCGTGATTCTGTGGACTAACAATAAGATTTAAGGAATTGTGCAGGGTATACTACTTTTCAATGCCAATTGCTACAGCAGGATCCTGAGATATACGGTTGCATCTTCTTTCTAAATGAGAATGTCTGGAACAATCAGAGGAGGAAACTGTGTCCGTAGTTCTGGGAAACTACTCCAGATGTTGTTACCTTGATTTTAGATGATGCAATTTGATTTTTCTTCCCTTTGGGCTTAGTACCTGTTATTTGCTCTCTCAGTGTGATACACCACTAAGCACAGCAAGTACTATCAAATAGTGATCACATCCCTTTTAACTTCTTTGTCTGTACATGCACCAGCTGAAGAGAAAAAAGATTTTTGGATGATTTCAAGAATTTCAGTGCTTATAAAATTATTAAAGAATAATAACATGTGAGATACCTATGTAATGAATATTAAATTTGGGGGATCAGCAAAAATATAAAAGACAATTTTTGAACTAAGGATAATTTCCCTGAAACTTTGTTTGAAAAACAAGAATGTTCAGTGGAAATCCATCTATTTCAAAGATTCCCCAGACAGTCAGTGAGTGAGAAAAGCCTTCAGATGAGAAATGGTTTAGCAGTGGGACCACGCTGCTCTTACGTGGCTCAAGCAGTCCCAAAGAACTGCACAACAGGCGAGGAAAATACTAATGGGAAAGGTCCGTGCTAAAAGCAGGTTCCGCATTTAAAATAAGAGCTAATCATCTAAAAGGCATGGCCAGGCCTCTTTCCAGGGAAAACTTCCTTCAGCAGTCCTCAAAATGCCATCCTTCACGGACCGAGCACGAAAAGGGACAACAGCCAGACAAACTGTAACAGGCTCCTTTGTCTGCAGAAGGCACCTGCTCTGCTTCTGAAGAGTCTAGAACGTGTACAGCGTGCAGCGGAGCTAACACTCAGTAACGAGTCTTTGTAAAAGCGCGTCTGTACAAGACACCACGTACACAAGAACAACTTCAGAAGTCATGCTGCTGGGGGCAGCTGGCTCCTGGGGCAAGGACGGGTGGTGACACGACTACTGAGCATACGCATTAAATCTTGGCACGTGGTGCAGGTGAGGTGGCACATGGCCTTCTCCTGTCACTGGGAGGAGAGACCGGGACCACCCAGCCAGCACAGATGGTCACTGCTGCATGGGTAACATCCCCTGCACATTCCTCATGCACTGTGGATTCCTGCACTTTGCCAGCGCGGCCCTAGCACATACCAGTAACAGGTGGCACACCTGAGCAAATCTCACTCTTCAGATGTGGACACAGCTCAACACCTGCCCTCTCAATCCACAGCTCATGTCATCATGCCTGTACACGCTGGATGCATGTTCTTCAATAGCTGCACTAGCATACCGAGCATCCTTCATCTCTGCTGAAGATGGAGGGAAGGTGGCACCAAACAACAGGGAAGCATTATATTCCTCATAGCTATCCCTGAAGGTGTGAATGCCTCTATCCCATTCCCTCCCACTGCAGCATTTAACAGGTGAGCTTAACTCACACAGTTTTCTGACCTCATCGCAGTTTTCCTGTTCTTACAGTGGAGCTACAAAGAAGATAGAGGCTCTCTCTTCACAAGGAGCCACACGGAGAAGAAAAGGGGCAATGGGTAAAAGTTGCACTGGGAGAGGTTTCATCTCAGCATAATAAAGAAGTTTTTTACTGTCAGAACAATCAATCACTGAAACGACCTCCTCAGAGACATGGTTGAGTGCCCATCATTGGTGGTTTTCAAGATGCAGCTGGACAGGGTGCTTGATAATATCATCTAGGCTCACTTTGCTGTGAAAAGTTGCACCATATGATCTTTTGAGGTTTTGATCTTTTGATTTCCAAGCTGGGTTGTTCTATGGTTCTGTGATTCTAACTCACTGACAGTTTGCATCAAAACAAAGTGGAGGAGAAGCTTGCGTGGGCAGGCACTAGTCTTACCTTGGAAAAAGCAACCAACTTTTGGTTTGGTATAACCAAAAGTTATACCAACTTGGTTAACTTTGCACTGCAGAAGAGGAGAAGAGAGACCCTTACACCTAACTCAGAGATGGACGTGAGTAAAATAACACCAACCAGAGGTACAGCACAGTCTGCCATTGTCTTCCTCAGGTGAGTACCTAATAGTTGAGCACTCTCTTCCCCAATACATACACATACCACCTCAGAGACAACTGTGCCCAAGACAGAGCAGAAAGCCTTCAGCGAGTTAAGCACAGAGGTGTTTAAAGAGATCACTTACTAAGGAAGCCCGTAAGTGTCTGCAAGCATCTTTCCAGTTCTTTTCTGTGCACAGGTGAGCACGCAATCCTCAACCATCACCAAACCAACTATTTGGTTTTGCAAAATCAGGAGCTCTGGTCACTTATGCAAACAGTGTTTAAAAATAGATTTAAGAAGATGAAGATGTCACCTTTCAGCTGCTAACTACTGTCTCTCCAGAGACACCGAGTGACTCAGTGGATATTTTTAACACCCCTTGCCCACCTTTACACACAGGACGTGATGCTGCATGTTCATCGTGGGACAGGAGCTCTGACAAGGGCTGATTTACTTCGTTCAGGCTAAGCACACAAAAAGAACACTTTCTTGTGAATATGATATATATTAGGGTGCTAGTGTGATTTCAATAGTCAGTTTTAAAAATAGTTAGTACCTGAAGCACGTATACTCCAACATACAAACTCCCACTAACAGTCTTTTAGAGGAAAATTTTTTAAAATTCCTCTGATTCCATAAATATTTAAACATACCTATGCTTTCAAGTATGCAAAGATGTGTCTTTTAAGCACTAACATGAAGGGATGCATGAACAGAACACGTCACAAACAATGCTGACAGCAGCTGGAAAACACCTCTTTGGGGCTGGTAGTCCAAGGTCTAATGCACGAATTTCTGTTTGGAACTCTGCAGCATCAATAGATATAAACATTAAATGTAGGTAATGTTAACTGACATTTTATAGTTCTTGAGTTGTGCTAAGTTTATACCTGTAATTAAACAATGGGATAGACATATAAATTAGGTTACTACAATATAAGCAATAAGATAACCTACTGTATATTGCTTAACTGTTTTTCAGATATTGCTTTACATTTCATTTATCCAGGACTAAATTCTCTTTGCTTTTCTTTTTTCCTCAGATAAATCTGTCTAGTTGAAGAAAAAATGCACATATATTCTACAGACAAAAAATGTGAGATTGTGGATTACCTGATCTGCAATAGGGCTTTCTTGGTTTGTTTTTTTTTTTTTTCTTGTTTGTTTGTTTTTTATTAGTTATTTCAGTTATTAAGAAAAAAAACCCATTATACCTCATTGTAATTTTTCTGACTATAAAGTATTTACAATAACAAAGATAAATTATGCTTAACTTGAATGGCATTTATAACACATAAAGGTCAGTTGTTTACCAGTATTTCCCTAAGAATCATCTTCGGTATTTTCCTTCTTTTTAATTGCTTATTCAAAAGGTACTGCCTATACCCTGTCATTATGTTAAATTGTTAAACGTGATTTTAATTAATGTTCCTGTTTCAATCACAGGAGTTATCAGATCTCACTAAACTAAAAGAAAACACATTCCCTATTTTGCCATGGGAAGATAATAAAACTGATGAGTGAGTGGTGTGGACCATGCTCTTTGACGCGGCCATGTTTGTATGTGGTTTTCTTCAGTCGTAGCTCTGAATTGGGCTGCTGTAGAAGGCGAGATACAAAAATATATAACCTGTTGATATACCGTCCTATAGCAACTTCTTTCTGCTATAAAAATGCTGTGTTGCTATAGAGATTGAAGATTATTATTTGATTCTACAAGATACCACGTTG